GGTCAGTCTTCAAATTTAACACCATACCTTGAAGCCCTGCCGGGGGGCTGGAGGACCAAATAAAAAATATCTTCATTGATTTTAGAAGAGTTAATGTGTGTTTTGTTTCATTTCTTCGCAGAATGTCCGCTTAGTCTTAAAATATTCAAATTATAACGAGAATATCACCAAAACGAAATCATTCCAATTAAAAGAACACTAAGAAACGAACGGAGAAGAACTGAAACACTAGCAACAACCAATCACGATCACTTTCCCTTGAGTCACTGAACAAATGCAGTTAAGGAGCCTTGTTTTGCAGCAGGATATAAATGAAGTTTTACTATGAGAAAGGTTTTTGTACTAGTTGCAGGAGGACGAGGGTGTTAGTTTTCAGGAATACTATAAATCCAATTTGTAGTATGGAAGTTTCGGATGCGAAATTGTCTTGTTTTCAAATATTGTCAATCATACTTGTTGACAGCTTTATTCATATTTTAACTATCTAAACAAAACGAAAAGGTAGTGATTTTGAAGCACAAGAAAACGTGCGTACTCTACTTCATACTTTACGAACATATTTCATATTTTTTACGATAAACAAATAAAAAAAGTACTGGCAAAATAATGAACGTTCGACAGGCAGTCCGGTGGCCGGACGATAACTAGAGAAAGTCTAGGAAAAACTAGGAGTCGTCGTCAGCTATGTCACTTCGTAAGTGACCACTGGATATGGTCAAATCATTCTCAGAGAAGATAAAGTGAGGTGGAAGGCTCAAACGCCAAACGCAGAAAGGTCTTACAACACGTGATCCAAATAAGGTTCCTTATCTATGTTTCACAAAAGAAATGCTGGAAAAAAAGGACTCAACTTTGAACTGATAACTGTATAGACTGCGTGTGATTTATAAAAAAAATATTTACAGCATCTTTTTATCGCGTAGCTCTTAACACGAACATAAAGTTCGTGAAAACCCTTAAATGACTCGTTTATGCTTCCACAGTGTCCTCCACATAGTAAGTAATGTCATAATGTTTAAAAAGTGATTGAAAATCGTAAGATAATAAAATACGTTTAATCAATTCCGCTAATTGAATAACGCATAAAAAGAACCCTTTGCATTCAGTTTTAACAACATAAATTCGGTTTTTAATCGAATAAAAATCGATAACGCAGTCAGTGCATTAACGAATAATCGATAACGCAGTCAAGTCTACATCGTACTTACCATAGTAGAAAGAAAGTGTTGTAATGCTGCAGTGGAAAGTGGCGGTTTTTCGATAGAAAAACTACTTCTGTGGTCCTTGATATAATAAAGTGGATAAATCTTGTTCTGCATTTTAAATTGCTTCCTCTATTACCTCTCATTCAGAATTCACGTTTTGTGAGTCCTAGATAAGCAAAATTTGTTTATGACAAAACCTCTATGGTCAAAGCTAGCGCATAACTATTCAGACGAAATTTTCCACAATAGACATAACCTGAAGGATCAGACGAAATTGAGACCCTGTGAGTTTGAAAATAATATTTTGATTTTTGTGGGTTCTTTACAAGAAGTGTTATTTTTTATCTCAAAAAAGGCTCCAAATACAAGATTTTTTTTTCGAAGAGTAAAGTATGCTTATGGAAATTGCGCAGATCACATTTTTTTGAACTATGAATTTTTGAAAACAGCAAAATTTCATTTAATTAGCCTCTTACGATAACCATAATGTTAAAGATAAATGTTTTTCCTTTTATGAAACTTATCTTCAAATTTAGATCTTTAAGTATGGTCGTGAAGAATTTTTCGAAAATATGAATAGTCCTCGTGTAATTTTGAGTTTATTGATGCCCCAGTTTAAATGTTTTCTAAACCTGCCTTATGCATTTAAAACTGATGCTAAATATTTATTTTTCAGTTCAATCCATTTCTCAATATTATAAATTTAAATAATTTCGTGTAGTTTTTTGTTTAATTTTTAAATATATAGATGGAATTCTTTTTATCTTGTGGGAAATTTTCTGAAACGTCAATGTGAACATAGCACATTTCGATAGCCGAAATACAAAGTACAAAGGAATATTACTTTTTTAATCTTAACAATCTTCCTTCAAGTAGTGCAAAATACGCTTACAAATAATGGTATAAGTCCAATTACCATTTAAACCCATGATTCTTCGAAAATTGCAATTCGAATCTCCCGCGCACCTTCTGCTGGAGTCTTCCACAAAATAACTGACGAGTTATTTGGTTACAACTTGCAATATTAAAATACGAAGAGTATGTATCCGTACCAGATAAAACATAAAAAATTGCGCTGTTGTAGGTATGTTTTAAAATATTAATAGTTTCCATATAAAAGAGTCCACGATTGAGTTTACAACAAGCCGCAATACGAGAATGACAACAATCACGATGGATCGGTTTGAGAATCGATTCTATGTGTTTCATTGTTAAGCGACAATGTGTAACTGTGTAGATAGTAGTTTTGGATTGTTGAATTTTTTCTATGTATTTGCTTTATTTTTTAAAAAATATTTACAGTACCTTTGGCCAATTAGGCCCCTGACAGCAGATTATGAACAATGTTGTTTTCTAGTTTATTTAAATTTGTGTAGCTTTATAACACAAGCTCACGCATCAAGTCGTAATATTAGTAGTGTTAGTAGAAAAAAGTAGTAAGAATTGTTATGAAGAGAGATTATACGGATCGACAAAGAATTTTCTTAGTAGTTTGCGTTTGAGTCGATTTGGATGTGCATTGGGTTTGATTAATTGAAAATGCATTCAGATAGAATATTATTATTAATTTTGATGAATTTAGTTATAAATAAACGAAGTGGTTTTAAGAAGATTTCGGAGGCAAGTATTTTGAAAAGTCTGAATTAGATTTATGTTTGTTTTTAGTTAGTTATGTTTGCAGTTACCCAAATCGGACAGTCATAAGAAATAATAGGCCTAATCATTGTCTTAAATAAATGTAACTTGGTGAGAATGTTAAGTGAATGAGAGTATTTAATAAGAGGAAGATTATTTCCTAAGGAAATTCTGTTGGTATTTGTATTTCTTTGAAAGAATTAGTTTTGCACCAACATTTCTAGCGTTTCGGATAAAATATTTAAATGATAAAAGGCTGTATGCATATCAATTAATTTTTATGGATTCACACTTCATTCTACAGATTCGGAATCCTTCTCAAGTTGGGAGCTCTCTTTGAGGTTAACGAAGTAAGCTTGTGTGAAATTGTTCTTTCTGGTCTATATAATCTCCTGCGAAAAGAGATCCAATAGTGAATTCATCGTAAATGTAGTTTCACTATCTGTGCACGTTTTCTTGAATTCAGTGGTACATATCGTTATTCATATAATCCATGTTCTTGTAGCAGGAAGTCGATTTTTTCACGAAAGGCACGATAAGCGATAACCGCCAAAACCTGTAACCAATTTCTCTTTGCAAATCCACAGGAGAAACTATTTTGTCGTCAAATCTTGACAAACCAGTCGTTTTTGGGAAAACGTGCACATTATCAGTGGAGTCTCGTGCTTAGGTTGCACAACCCCCAGATAATCGTAAAATACTCTTCATTGTTAGAAACGTTTATTTTCGAGATAATGTTACAAATCGAGATATTGCAGCAATACCCGTGTATGAAATCGTTTCGAAATCAAAGAGCGCCCATCGAGCGCTGTCTCTGGCGTCTCGTTGCAAGACTGGCAACGCACCGTGTGACGTCACGCTCTTATGAAGCGTTGTAGAAAGCATCCGTGGATAACCAGTGCGAAGAACGAGGCTCCCGTCTTCAGGCGCGTCTCTGAGCATTCAGGCGGTCAGTCCCCACTTGTTTCGGTACCATATGCGTAGCTACGTTCTCGAGGGCCCCGAAGTCTAAATGGGCCTCGGTGCGCGAAGTCTAAATGGGGTCCGCCATTGCCGTTGCCATCTTTATTGGGGACCTTTGACTTCTGGGGGCACTGGTGCCGCGCATTAGTTGCACCAGCCTAAGAAAGCTGTCACCAAGGCGATGCTGGGAAATGGGCGCCGGCAGCATGGGTGGACTCGGGGAATACCTGGTATTAGGTTAGTGACGATTAGAAGTGTAAAATATATATTTCCCTAATATGAATGCAATAGAAAATCTTAATAAACACTTTTGGTTTGTGCCCTGTTGAAAAAAATTAATATTAAGAGACCTTGAAAGCAACTGAAAAAAAACATTTGATCGAAAATTCAACGCTAATTTTTTATAGGAAAAGTAGATGGTCGTTTGGGTGAGATTCGAAGACAGCTCTGAGTTGTTTTCCCAATTAATTGTTTGAAGATGGGGATAAATGATTGAAGTTTATTTTAAAATATAACGAATAGCATAGCGGCTCTTTTCTATTCGTCATGTTTAAGATTTAAACTTCGTAAAAAGCTTGAAGAAACTAACGCTTCTGGAAACCACATAAAATAGTTTGCAGCTACCATTATTTCGCACTTACAGCATACTAATGCATTTATCTAAATTAAATGTCAGTCATTCGATTGAGCAGGAATCCCCATATTTGGGCAGCACCAAACCAACACTGCAAGGAATACACTAAATAATTAATTAAATCGTATTTGTTTCTTTGGTAGATGGTTAAGAAAGGGCAACCTTTTCTGGAAGCCTCGTTTATTAAACCTTATGCGCAGCGTTCGGTACGAAGTTTTACAAGTGATGACCGAGATGTGCTAGAATGGGCAGGAATTGCAGTAGTAACGTAGACGTTCGTTATGCGAGAAAGTACGTGCTGTTGTAGTCCCAGTAGTTTACTATTTTTACATTTAGTGTTCCCTTTCCCACTAATTGGCTTCATAAATAGGTTTCCGTCTTTGAGAAATCACAAATGTTACAAAATCTCAGCTAATGGAGATGGCCGAGTAGCTTTGTCGTGTATTGTTGTCCCTGAATAGGTCCAAGGTCCGGATAAAACGGTTTTGTTTACTTGGAAACAGGCAACAGTCGAGGACTCGTTTCCAACTAATAGAGCCCCCTAGAATGAGAAACGCGCTCACCGTCTTGGAGGAGATGCAGGCGTCGTTCAGGTAGAGGCGGTGGGTCTCCCAGCGCCGCAGGAACTTGGAGCTGAGGATCTTGCTGATGACGGTGCGCGTGTGGTTGAGGTAGCACAGCTGCACGTCGCCCTCGCGCAGCAGCTTGAAGCGCGGCCCGGGGCCCGGGGCGGAGGGCGAGGGCGACGGCAACGCCGACGACGACGACGCCGTCAGCGACGACGCGCTGCTCGACGCGCACGCGGCCAGCGGCGGCAGAGGCGCCGGCGCCCCGCGCCGCGACGCCAGCGGCTCCAGCTGGCCCTCCGCCTCCGCCGCCGCGCCGCCCTCCTCGTCCTCCTCCTCTTCGCCGCCGTCGTCGTCGTCGTCGGCGCCCGCGTCGCACCCGCTGCTGCTGCTGCTGCTGCTACTGGTGACGGAGCAGCCCGACGCACTGCTGCTATACGACGCAGTGTCCGTCTCGGGCTCCGCACGCGGGGCCGTTCGCACCTCGCCGTCGTCGCCGCCCGCCGCCGCCGCCGCCGCCCCCGTGGGGCCTTCCACCACCACGATGCACGGCTGGGCGGCGGCGGCGGGCGCGGGCGAAAGCGGGTCGGGCGCCGCCCCCGGCCCGGGCCCGGGGCCGGGCCCCGCCTCCACCGGCGGCGGGGGCGGGGGCGCCGCCGCCGCTGCCCGCTCCCGACGCCCAAACGGGCTCGAGAAGCAGAACATCAATGCCAGACACTTGGACACTTTGGGGCCGTGCGCGGCGCTAGGCGGATCGAAGGGGTGGTTGCCGCCCGCCTGCCCGCCGCCGCCGCCCGCCACTCGACAAGGCATGCATGTGCGCTGCACGCGGCGAATCTTCGTGTAAACGGATATCAAACGGATTCCTTCGATAAAAATCAAGCGAACTACCCGCGCGCTATCTCCCGATCCTTCGCGCGCGTTCCGCTCTTCACAGATAAAAGGCACGAATTGCTCTACAATGTCTACACTTCTCACTAGACTAGACACTTCTTTTCGAAGCTAAGTACTTAGGAACATTGACACTATAAAATTAAAAACAGGGCAAATTGTACGCTTCGTTATCAACTTGCAACGATCAGACTGACAACAATGAGGCATCGGCGAATCTGCACAATAGGCCCTTGTTCGATATTCACTGTCTGAATGGAAGTGGTCCTAAGTCATATTGACTGACAAAAAAGTTTGTTACTCAAAATGTTATATTGTTTGCAATCCCACGGCACACAACCACATCGTTTATTTCACAAAAACACATCAATCATTGCTATCGACGAGTTTTAAAAAACACATTAACAAAATTGTGCTTCCGTAAACAACGTCCTAAAGAATGGCACAGTCAACAAACACGTCCAATTATTTGGTCACTAATATTGTGCGCTAAAGAGGAAGCGTCTTGGTTAGGAGTCACTTGCGCAGCAACATTTCGGCAGCGCGTAGCCCATCTCTTCCGGCGTATAACATCGGCTCGACGAGGGTGGAGCCAGCGAGAGGCCGAGCATGCTAGGGGGGCAGGCAACCAATCGCTGAGCAGGCGCGAAGCACTCCTGAGAAGACGACACCAGCCTTGAAGTGCCGATCCGTTTCTGACATGGCGAATTCACGCGGCAAAAAACACCTGAAGCACAACACGCGAGTTGACAGCGCGCTGCGCGACCGAGCAGCAACCTACGACTGGCGCCCGTCGCTCTCGCTCACTGGTCGATGCGCCAGGCGACACCTTTTAAACGCACGGACTCGCCTCGGTAGCGCCATCTGTGAAATGGGATGTGAACCTCGCCCGAGGAACTCGTACGCAACCTGTAGGCGACGGGACGTACTCGAGGCAATTCTGTTGACGTCAGGAACATGATGACGTCACGGAAAGACGTTTTCTCTCGCTCTCTTAGATTCTCCGAAAAGAAACCAGACTTCTTCTTTAAGTCCCAGTTTCCATTTGCGACCTATATAACGAAACCAAAAATCATTACAATTTGCTATTTTGAAGATTTATTTTTGTTTCATTTCATTTACAAAAAAATTGCTAATTTACAAATAAAAAAATGTTTAATAATTGAATATCCCAACTTTTAAAATACTTGCATACTACTTATTTGTTATATCTTATTAATTTCATTACTATCAGTTTTTCATGTACACTTATTTATATTTTCCTTCAACTTGGTGACAAAAACTTAACTTTGGACATAATATTAAAGTTACAGTAATCTATTATATTTGACATTAATAATATCAAAGCCAGCATATTTCGTACAATATTCCTTCCTAACTTCTTTATAATAATTATTCTTATGCCATATCTGATGCTCTAACACATCCTTATTTCAATAGACATTTTACTTGCCTCCTATTAGCATCAAACACTGTTTTAGACCAATAATAGCAATTGATTTAGTTAATTTTATCTAAATTTATCTCAAATAAATATCAATTTTTTTAATGTATTACAATGGAAACTATAACAATTTTCAGACTTTTATAATAAATCAATAATTACAATTATTTAGAAATGAAACAAATAAATCATTATACTCAAAATGTATTCACATGCTGACATTCAAATACTTGGAACATGTACTTATATGTACAGTTTTATTAACATTGAATATTATTATTAACTATTCATCTATTTATTAGAGTCGATCAAAAATAGGAATGAATCAAAGTTCACTGAAAAAAACAAAAATTAAATATTGTTTTCAAAATTAAAAGTAAAATTTTCAAAATAATAAGAAACATGCTTTTTATAAAGGAATCACGAAACAATTTCTCATAATAAACAAATTATTTCCTATCCTGTCATATAAAAGTCTTAAGTTGTATAAAAAATTACAGACAAAATTGAATTAAAAAGTTCAGAGTTCAATTGAACTAAAAATATTTATTGATAAAAAAAAAGAGAAAATGACATCAGACAAACAAACTAATTCTTAAAATCTATAAACTTCTTGAATTTCAGGTGATTTCAGGAAAAACATTTCCATTTAAATATCTACATCCTTCCTTCAAGAAAAAGAGGGCAAGTACAATTTGAGATGAAGCACATTAAGGTCAAAAATAGGCATTATAATTCGAAAAATACAATGAAAAAAAGTGAAAAAGCAGTAATACCAATGTGGAAGTAAGAAGAAACAGATAAAAAAAATACACTTACTAAAATAAATGCAAACAGAACATATAACAAAGCATAGAAATGTTTTTAAGGAATTTGTATTTTAGTCAGACCATTGTTATAGCTTCTTCTGAATAAATTCGATTCTAACATAGTATTAATGAGGTGATGTGATTTTATACGAAACGTCTCTGAGATTAATCTTGAATATTTCCTGGGTTCATAATCCAAAATGATAATGTTGTCAAAATTAAAAGAATGAAGAAAATCAATGTGATGTCCTGAAATTGAGTTTAATTTTGTCCCAGTTCTTTTAATGTCATTAATTTTATTCTTTGTTTGAGAGCACATTTTGTCTGTCTCACATAAGAAACAGAGCAATCACAATACAATAAACTTCATTTTCTTTATCCGTAAAAGAGATTGTATCTGTGACATTTCTGTCTAGATTTTGTTGAAGGAGTAATATATTAATAATTTTAATGTCAAATTTCAAATTAGAAAACTTTTTGCAAAGGAAATGATTTATTCTAGGAACATATGGTAAGATGTGAAACATGGCCAGACTAACAGTTGTTTGTTTATTACAGTTTTCTATACTAGTTCAACATTTTGTGAGGTACATATGATTCAATTAGAAGAGTAGTTGTTGTCAGTGATGATATGTCATACTTTGTTCAAATCAGTGGGATGGTATTTGCGATGCTCTATCAACTAAATTATACACCATTCCAATTTTCTGATGAAGAAAAAAGTTGTGTGTAAACAGAGGTACACTCTTTTTGAAACAAATTTGTTACTTTAAGAGCATTATTAATCCTGATGGAAATGTCTAAACAATTGAACAGACATTAGTAGATCTCTCTAATAAGAACTGAATAGATGCGTTGTAGGAGTCAAATGTTTTGTAAAAGAAAGGCTCAAGTCAAAGCACGGATTTGTTTTAGTGAGATTGGACAACTTAAAGTGAATTTTGGCCGGAGGATTTTTCAAAGGGAAACAGGACTTTGAGAGGAACTCACCCAGGAAAGGGGGGGTTGAACGTTAAGCTTCTCCAAGAGAGTGTAGAAATGGTTGATGTCTGAGTATACGATGTATCCGTGCGTATAATGTCCGAGACTTGGAAGCAACTCCGCTTGGCGCGAGAGAATATGTAATTCTGAAAATTTCGCACCGTAAGATCTGATCAAAATATTGGATTCAGAGAACCATCTTTGAAACCAACAAGAGTTTTTGGCTAAGAAATGGTTCTCCAGCAACATCCAAGACGCCAAGAAGCATTCGATGTGTCTCGTGCAGTAGGGGCCTGTTTAGATTCTTACATTGCCACCTTGGAAAGTGTACGGTGGCTTACTTGGGTTTGAAACCATGAGGCATGATACGAGCACATTTATTTACCGCAGCAGTTTACGCCTCGCATGGTTTACCACATCACGCTTTTCCTTGTGAATTGCTACTCGGGCTGGGCTACTTGGCGTTAGCCTTTATCTGCATTCCCGCCGGCACGCAAGTACGCCGACAGGCTGGTGCCTGGACCCCGCCGGAACGCAGTAACCCTCTCGGTCCTTCTAATTCAAACAAACTTTTGGTTTGAACTGTGCTTTAAAAGAAAAGCTCTGCCTTGATTTATTGCGAAATCGATCACTCACCAAGGTGCCGATAGGCGTCACCGGAACCTTAGATTACGTAGAACTCACAACGGCTGACAATATAATATATGAACGAAGAAATCGAATAGGCTACTCCGGAAGTCTGTGGTGAAAAATTGTTGCACCTCGTAACTATTGTTTGAAGCAAGTACTATTAAAATGATAATGAAATCAGCGAAAAATGAACTTAAAGTGACGTAAAAAGGTAAAAAAATGTCGGAGTGACAAAATTAGTCGGAATCGACAAAACACTACATATAAAAATAGGTCATTTCGTTTTGTCAGAACATAAAATGGATTTCTATACTAAACGGCATTGCTGTAAAGTAGAAAAACAGTTTTTGTTCTTGACCAACTTTGTGTATTTTTTTAATAATATTAAGGAATTAAAAGAAAAATATGACATTTCATTAAAA